GTGTGTGTGTGTGTGTGTGTGTGTGTGTGTGTGTGTGTGTGTGTGTGTGTTTGTGCGAGTAAGTAGGTGTGTGTATTTGAGCTCTGCAGTAATTGATTAGCACCCTGAGGGTGTGTTTGTGTTCTCAGCATGCTATGGTGATTAAAATCATCAACTTTGTTCGCACTTGTGTGGCGTGAGGGTGTGTGTCAGTGTGGGCGAGTGACTTTGTGTGTGCGTATCTCTCCAGTAAATAGAAACGCAGCCTGCATTTAATACAGCTGAGTCGAGTCATCGTTCCTATTTGTGGCTGTAGCGGCAGGATATTTGTGAGAAGCTGAGGAAAAATGAGGGCTGGTGCTGTATTGTTGTCATTAATAAGAAAGACTGACAGGAATTTTCTCAAGTTGGTGCATCACTGTTTCACACTGCTCCTCTGTGTGATCACAACTATGTTCTGTTTTCTTTGGTGTGACAAACAGAGGAAGGACTCACTCTCCCCGATCACAAGTGAGTTTGCAAACAGAAGTCATGTGACCACAAAGTCAAATTCAATCTGATTCCACCTCTTTGTATCGTTATTGTAGCCCGACAGCCTTGTCTGTACTCCTCAGTGTAGCGTCGCTGGCATTTCGAGATGCACATAAAGAAGCAGCTGAATATGAGAATCGGTCCAGACTTTGCTTTGTCCTTGGTTTAGTTTTTTAAATTCATTTTTTATCCAAGCAAAAGGAGCTGCTGGTATCAGACATCGACATCTGTTTCCTTCGGCCCGTCTTGTGCGTTTTGAGGTCCTTTCCTGTCAAAGGCTCGTGCTGAATTCTAACAGTGAAAAGTTCTCATTGCTGTTCATTTATTACACTGGGTTTATTCATTTCAGATACATCTAAAGAAATTAACAAATCAATTTAATCTTGAACTGAAGGAAACCACTCTGAATTTGAAGGTTGTGGGAATGCACTTAGCATCCTCATCAGGATAGCGTCTGTGTGTGAAGTAAGCAGCACTGTAAACTGCTATCGAAGTGCAGGTTAATGAGTGTCCACAGTAAACTGTAGGCAACACAGAGAACTTTCACAAACTCAGAGGTGTTAATGCAAAACCTGGATTTTGTACTGGGGGTTCACGCAGTGAGCAGTGCCGTTGTCCTTCGCAGTTTAGAGCACTTTGTTGCCTTTCACAGTTTCAGTTTCAGCTCCACATAATTTTGTTTTAGATCACAAAAACTACCAAAGCAGACAAATGTTTCTAGCAACACAAGCCATTAAAAATTTGCAAACAAGATGTGTAACTGTTGAACCTTAGTGTACAACCTGTGTGGACAAATTTGTATCCCAACCTCCTTGGAACTAGTAAACATCAACGGTTCCTCCATGATTGCATTGATTTATTTTTCTGTCCGAGACCCATTGCAAGTAGTTGACCAATCGCTGACGGACCTCTTTCAAAGGCAGATGCAAAAGTTGCTTGGTGGGAGGCAATCTGCCTGCAAACACTTGCACTGTGACTCAGACTGATTGCAGTTACTCTCAGCCAGATTGGTGAGAGTTTGCAAATAATTACCAACTAATTTATGAATGCTGACAGATTGCTAACACATTGTAATCAATGAAAGTCAGGTTGCACCAATCAGGACAACTCATCTGCTTTGTGTCAATATGCAACAAACGGCTCGACTCAGGTGGTTGTCAACTGGTTGTATTCTAGTTACATCGAGTGGATGAACTTTCAGTTTCAAATCTATGAGATTCTCGCTGAACTCTGAAAGTAAGAAGTTAATGTGAATCTCTGTGCATGTAAATGGCAACAGATTTGTTAATCACTAACCGACAACAGACTGAATCTGTTTTGTTGCCGTTTTATTGCCTCCTCGATGCACCAAAGCTGTTCCGAAGACGGCAAGTGACTGCAGATTGGCTTTGCCAAAACATTAAACAGGCCGTCCACACTTAAACCCCTCAGTGTGGATGATGACAATCTGTCTTTAAAAAGAAAGAATTTTGCATTTACTCAGGATATCTTTGTCTAAAACCAGGTAGCAGTGGTGATGTAGTGATATAACCCCAAAGGAGGTTTGCATCTCCTGCGGGAATTGAACTAGCGGGCTTTGGCTTGTCAAGTAAATGAGCTACACATAGGCACATAGTGGCATGCAATATTACACTTAATATGAATCTTACTGTTACCGAAATATTTGGTGGATGTACAAATCAGCTCTTGTTTGTTTT